GCTTTGGTCAGGTTTGGCTTTACCTTTCGTGGCTCTGGCCTCCTGGCTTCTCCACCCAGTATTACACTGCTTTCCAGGGAGAGGGGCTGGGACAGAGTCCAGCAGGATTTTCTCACTGCCTGCATTATTACGCTGATGGGAAACCCCCACATTTGGTTCACGGGGCCTGGAGCTGTCTTGAACCTGTTGGAGAAAATTTGGAGAGAAGGCCATTAACGTGTCGCTCCAGCCTGACCACCCAACGATGCCGAAATCACCTGCAGCGGGAGCCCGTCCGCACCCCACTAGGGAACAGCACCGGAGTCCTACGAGCCTGCGCGACGGCAGCTGCCACTCGGTTTGCCACAGGTTTGCTGCTTGGGGACTGGCTGAGTAGCGGTTGGCTGGTGGTGAGCAGCTGCATCATTTTGTTTTCCTTCCCTTTCACCTTTTTATTTATATTACATATTGTCATTATAATTAGGAATATTTTCATTACCTAATGTTAGTATTATTGGTATAATTATTATATTTCACTTACTTTGAACTATTAAACTGTTCTTATCTCAACTCACAAGTTCTCTTACCTTTTTCCTCCGATTCTCTCCCCCATCCCACGGGAGGAGGAAAGGGGGTGGGGTTAGCAAGCAGCGGGGTGGTACTTGGTTGCTGACTGGGGCTAAACCACAACAGTGGCAAACCAGATTATGAAGTGAGACTGAACGAGAGGCACGCAAAGGCTGCCCTGAGAGTTAGTGTTCAGAGTAGCATAAAAATAGGCCGTACAGAATAATTAACTTGATTTGCAATAAATGAGCTCTGAAAGGAAAAAAAAAAAAACAACACAGGATGGGCAAATTATTTAAATATCCATATTACAAGAAAAAATAATCAGAGGTGGGAAGGGTGGTTGCAATGGGAAGAAAGCACGCCGAGCTGAAGTGCTCTCCTACTCCCATGTACCGTTCCCACTGTGTAGCATCTCAGCGCAATCTTTTCTGTCATTTTTTATGTATTTGTAGTCACACAACCACTTGAACAGAGCAGGCAGCGTTCTCCTACGACATGTTCCTTCGGCACTCTTGCCCAACCGCAACTCACTCAAGAGCTCACAAAATCTACTGCAGCTGATGTTGTATCAACACTACACTTAACAATACGCCTGGTTTTGGCTGCTAAAAATCTGCTGTCAAAAATATTTATAATGTGATGGACTTACCAGGAGAAGAATAGGCTGCTATGATCGTTTGATTCAGGCAGGGAAGGGAAGATGTTAAAACTAGTCTGCTCCAAAAAGTGTTAATACTTTCAATTTCAGGCAAGCAGCAACGATGTTAAAGTAACAATATAAGCACAGAAACCTGGAATGACTTTATATTTCTCAACCACAGCACTGGCAGATACCAGCTACCACGCTCACAAATTTAAAAGAAAACAAGCAAAATCTTAATCCCCATTTTGAACCAGTCCTGCTTTCCTTGGAAAAATAAAAATTTAAACCACCTCCTCTCCGAGCACCACCGACACATACTTGGAGCAGAATCGTATTTCCCTCGTAGTCTTGGGTTTGCCACCTGGTGCTACTGATGGGAACGCAGGGGTTAGGCAGGAGAGGCACCAGCTGCCCCATCTCCTGCACCCTGAACTGCAAGGCCGAGGAGTCCTTCGGCTCGGCGGCCACCCCGACGGGCAGCTGCTTCAGGCAGAGCTGCACGGCAGCGTGCTGGGTCGAGCGCAGCACGAAGATGCAGAAGTTGCTTTTCTGCAAAGCGGCTTCTTTCTGTAGGATCATCTCGTAGAGCCTCACTGCGTCCTCGTAGTTGTCAAAACTGCAATAGAGGGTGACACGCAGGATTTCGGGGCCACAGTGCACCCGCCTGATGCCCCACACAGGCATCCGGTCATCCAGGCTGTAGAAGTCCTGGTGAGCTGGGGCATAGGGGTGGCTTTGCCCACCAGCAACCTGGGCACACTGATAGCGCCAGGGCGGACGCTGGAACTGCTCATGGACCTGGAAAATACGTTCTTCCCCCAAGTCCTCGTGTAGAAAAAGGAGAACAGATATTCCGGGAAAGCCGCAGCTTCTCTTACGGTAGCTCTCGTAGTATTTCAATGGAGTAACTCGCTCCGACACCAGAAAAAGGCGAACGTCCGGGCAGATCCACTCCAAAAGCTGATCCAGAGTCTGCTGCAGAAGCAACGAGTGTCCCGCATTGGCGAGAAGATGCACAGTCATCAGAGAGTCTGCTCTGTCCATTGCCAAGGTTCCTGACAAAAAGTAAAAATAGACAAATCGGTGCCTTCCCTCTCCTCCTGCTCCTGCCAGAGCCTCAGTGGCACGGGGCGGGTGCTCTAAGACTTGGGTAGAACAAACTCCATCTTCTCCAGGCTTCGCAACAAGCCAACGCAGGTACGCACGGTTAGCACACACGAGGAGGCAGGCGAAGAGCCACAAGGCTTTCCGTGACCCCTCCCAGGTCGCTCGCATCAATGACAGCCGAGCTCAGCTGAAGGGTCATTTTGACTCCACGTCTTGAGCTCTGGTCACCGAGTGCATGCGACCCACGTGCCCAGAAACACCTCCGTGTCCTGTGCCCGTCACAGCACAGGGCGGCGGCGAGGAAGAGCACCGAGACACAGGAGCAGTTCTCCCAGATGAGGTGATGCCAAGCAGACTTGCCCCTCAGCGCGTATCCCGCTGGTGCTGTCGCCGTCCTTGGCAAAGGCGATGTGGCGCTCGCGCCGGAAGACCTCGGCATATTCCCTTGCCGTCAGCAAGCTGGCCTTAGCGCGTCGCAAAAGGCTGCGACCTTTGCGAGGCACGCCCTGCTGCAGCACGCAGATAAGCTACTCTTTGAAAACAAGGAAGGAAAACAGGCTAACAAAAGCGTAAAAACCCTGCGTGAACACAACAGATAACAATAAGGGCAGACAGGAATCGGCCTCAGGAAAGAGGAGCTTTGGGAAAAAAACCCTCAACTCCTAGCTACGCGCTGCACAACACAGGTCACTCGCTGCCTGGCTGGAAACCAGGGCCCGGGTTATTACACACAGCCCATGAAAGCTGCATCTGCCAGGCTTCCCCCTTTCAGTGCCCTGCTCGCCTCTTTTTCTGCCTCCTTTTTTCTGTAATGCTGAGATACCCACGTAACCAGCACCCTTGAGTACACCCCAGGGGTTTCCTTTTCCTTGCTCCTTGAGTTTACACATCGGTATTTGATTTACCTTATTGTGCAGACCACAACAGGAATGCTGAAAATACACCTCCTTTCCAGGCCTCGGCTGGTATCTAGACAATAAATCACACCGCCCCTTCATCTCCTCGTTTGGCCAACCCAGGACCCATACGTACCAGTCCAGCCAGGCCCCATTTTCTATGCAGAACTGCCCCCATTGCTGCCAGTATTTAAATCAAAACTGGACCCTCCAATGGTGTATCCAGCTCCATGTAATTAAAAGCAACACATCTCTCTGCTGACATGCCCATTTTCTTCCTCACCGTGCAGAAATCCCAGCATTAATAAGAGTCTGTTATTCAAAACTCTGAGCTTTTTATGTTTTTCCTTTTAATATGCTCTCTATCCAACCGAGCAAAATCTCCCAGGTCTAAAGGCAGGAGTAGCAGTGTCCTGGTTTCCTTTACGCAGAAGGCCACTCTCGCTGGTGGAAACACACACTCGTGCTTTACAACCCCACCAAGCCCAACATACAGTTAAAATAAAAAGGCTGAGTAGAAAACGAGGAGAAACATTAATTTACACCGATGGAGACAAACCCACCCGCAACGCTCCTGAGGAAGTAACAGCTGCTGGGAGGGAGACCAAAAAATCCAGCCTTCGGACAATTGCCGGAAGAGAGTGAAGAGAACATGAAAACGCTCCCAATGAGCTCTGAACGGTTTTCCTAAAATATGGAAAAGGAAATGATTTGTCAACTCTTTGCTACAGGGCAGGGGCAAGGAGTCAAGGGGAGGAGAAGGTGAGGAATTTGGAAAAGGTGAGGAATTTGGAAAAGGTGAGGAATTTGGAAAAGGTGAGGAAAAGGGGAGTTGTGCCTGCAAGAAGAAAGCACTGAATCCAAGGAGGTTCGTGGGGGCAGGGGTTGTAGCTGGAAGCACAGGCTGTGTGCAGGGTGCCCGCACTGGTGGGAGGCAACGCTGCTGGGCACGGCGGGGACGCCCGGCATGGCAGGACACATCGTCCGGTGACGTATAAATCCGCAGCACACCCGTGTCACAGTGCAGCGTGCTGTTCCAGCTGCCCTTTATTAAAATGAACGTGGAGGTTTAAGGAAAAAGAAGGAAGACAGAAGTGAGGAAAGGTGCCTTCCACGAGAGGAGCAAGCAGAGGACCTTTGGCCTGGAGAAATTCCAATCAAGGGAATGCTTCACATGCATCCCTAAGCCGGTCTCAGGGAAACCTGATACCAGAAGTTTTTGGGATTCAGAAGGCGGCTAAGCACGTGCACAGCTGTAGGATTTACCAGCCTGCCAGGGGCTGGGTGACGAGGTCAGGGAGACCCAGCAACGCCCCTGAAATCCCGGAGCACGTGCATTTGCTCAGTTGCAGAGCGCTCGCTCCACCGCGCCCTCCCACGAGCAGGCTCACCCCCCTGCGCGCTCGCTACCTCCCCGGGTGGTCACCCCCTTGGGCTGCTCCTACAAGGCCATCCCGGCACCTGCCCCCTGCTTCCCCTTCTCCCACAGGGCAGACCACTCTTCCAACGGCAAGCTGGTGGTCCTCACGGGCGTGAGGCGGGAGTGAGCGCGGATGAGCGCTGTGTCCCTTGCCCCATCCCATCCATCACCGCAGGCTCGGGCAGCTCTTGGCCCCCAGCCCCGCTCAGGTTGCAGCAGCCCAGTGTTGGAAATCCCACGGGGGGCAGCAGCATCGCAGCAAAGTGCCGGTAACGTGGTCTCTCAGAGGGGCTGCACACAGGGAGGGCTGGTGAGCCAGGGGGAGCGCGACCAGGTCTCCCTCCAGCTCCCACTGTGACCAGTGGGTGCCAAACTGGTTTCCAGCCAGGCAGGTGCCTCGCACAGAGGCTGCTGAAGGTGACCAGCCTCTCTGCTGTGCAGAGCTGGGATCGGATGTAGCAGCCATCCATTTCAGGTGTCATCAGGTTTTACAACAGCCAAGAAACTCGAGCCTAGAGGGCCAAATCCTGACCCCTGCCACCATGCCGTGTCCCTCTGCGAGTGGTGCGCTTGCTGGGTGGGAGCAGGAAGCTGCCTCACCTCCGAGCTCTATCCGATGGAGCTGCCTGGAGAAGAGCTTAGGCCTGGTTCTCAGACCTGTAAGCTCTCCAGCAGCTCCAGGTCAGGGGTAACGGTCATTCCTACTACCAGGAGCAAGAGCTGAACTGCACATGAGCCTTGCCCGCACCCCTCCTTTGGGGGGCAGCCCCACCACCCCAGCTACGCACTGTCCGGTGGAGGAGCGCTCTGCTCCTCTTCCACTTAGTTTTGACACCCAAATGCCCATGGGGAAAGGCTCAAACCCCGGCTCCCTAACCTCAGACAAGAGCATTCTCATGCCCTCACTTCGTGTCTGGTCTATTTTTCTCCTTAGCCTTGGGGTAGAGCCAGGATGCCACGACCCTCACTGCGACAGCCCGGGGAGGTGAGACCTCCGCACCCACGGCTTTCCTCAGCGGCACCCGCGGAGGTCTTGGGGTGGAACAGCAATGACAGCCTGAACAAGGTGCTGGCTTTCGCTGGATCTTGTAAGGAAAGGAAAGCACTGGTTTCACTTCAATCCCCAAATGTAATGAGTCCTGGCCTTCCTCTCTGCTTCCCCTTCCCCCAGCTTTCCCGTCTGGCTGCCAAACGGAAAAGCCCATTATTCACAGTGACCTATTGAACACGCCAAGAAGGATTTCTCTAAGAGATTAGGAAAATAGTGGTTCAATCTTTTGTGAAAAGCCACTCTGCGGAGGGAAGGGGGAGAAAAAAATATTCTGCCATGATGCACAAAAAATATGCTGGAGCCCCATTCCCACATGACGCCGACCGGCCACGCAGCAGAACACGGAGCAGAGCGCGGGGGTAGCCCAGCTTTGTCCAAGAGCTGGTCCAATATGAATCTGTCTACCACCAGTATATACAGTCCTAAGCCCTGCAGAAGATAAAGTCCAAACGTAAACAGCTAACAAACACGGTGCGAAGCCTCAGAGAATACTGTCTGCTGCATGCTTAAGATCTTACAGGGGAAAGGCACAGCAAAATAATGAAAAATTCCTTTTCATAAGGAATTCTTAAGATGTGCCTAGTCCTCTGTCGTGCTCAGAGCCCTTCGCTCTAGCTGAGCTCTACCAAGACGCATGAGGCATCAGGGGATTTAATAAGTTCATAGTAGCATCGGTAAGGAAGTTGCTTTGTAAGGATTTAGCTCTGTACACTAGCACATAATTAACTTCACAGGGGCTGGGTGTGAATTACCTACCCATCTCAGGAGCAGGCCTCATTAAATCCATGCAGTGTCTCAGCCTTGCTCGGTTTTAATTTGTTTTGTTTTATGCCAAATCTCAGGCTTTTCCTATAACAAGGACCAAAATACTAAATGAACCTGCTAGATGACAATTATCTACAGCGTATACAGTACCGAGACAAAAATCAGGATTAAGGTCTTGAATACAATAACCTTTTCAAAGGGTTTGTGTCTTGCTCCAAACCTCGTGACTCCAATTCATCACCGCTTCAGAGGAAAGTGAAACCCCAATGATCAAAACAGGAAAAAAATCATCTAACCTACTGCATTTATTTAAGTAGACTTCTCTCCTGCATGGTTCTTGTTTCTTCTTTTTAACCAGCTAACCAAGAGCAGGAATCCAGCAAGGGTCTGCCAGCAGAGATACAGAACGTGCAGGGCGCTCCACCATGCACAGCAACCAGGATCCAAGCACGTGCACACACGGGGAAGAAAAGAAAAGGAAACCAATTGCAGTTAGAGAGAGGAGAGGGATGGGAAGCTGGCTGCGGGCGGCAGCCTGCCTTACCTCGCAGGGCTACGCGCCCTGACCCTCGCTGCTGCGGGGATCGCAGCTCCGACCCGGCAGCATTGGCTGCAACTCCTCCCAGCGACGGGACCCAGCGGTGAGAAACACTGTGCCAGGAGACGCGCGGGCAAGGCAGCGTTTCCAGACTGACGGGAGAGAAACTGCGAACCAAACCGGGAGAGGTTCCTCCTGACACGCAGCCACAGCAGCTGGGGGGACGGGGGTCCTTGCGGCAGTGAGGCGCACCGTCAGAGGGACAAC